GCTTAAACCACAACAAAAAATCAGCATTCAGTGCGATCTCAATGAAAATTTCTCAGTTCTAGGATGCAAACGTTCACTCCCGCACGTAAAATCTTCAAGTACGCACTTGCCCCCGTTTAGAAGTTACGACTTTTTTACGGAGAGCGCGTCTTTGGCTGGAATCTTTTATTTTTAGACTCGCGCTTAAACAGCAGCAAAAAATCAACATTTAGTGCGATTTCAATGAAAATTTCTCAGTTCTAAGATGCAAACGTTCACTGCCGCAAGGAACATTTTCAAGTGCACACTGGCGCCAGTTTAGAAGTTACAATTTTTTTAAAATACGGTTTTTAGGTTTTGACTGATTTTTTTCCTTTACTGTCTACTCACAAAAGGTTTATTTTGTAGAGTTTCACTTAATAAATGACTTATAACTCACGAACCGATGAGTTATATCTCTTTAACTCAGAGAGCGGCAATGACTCAATAGTGCTACCCAGGCCTACCACCTGTCTCTTCCTTCTCCTCTTGACTCACAAGACTGCTTTTAGAGAACGACCAGACCACGCTGGTGCTCTTCCTGGTGTCGAAATCGGCCATCTCCGCCTCCTTCTTCATCATCTACCCCTTTGCGGGCGAATTGTACCCCACAGCGATTCGGGGCTTGGGGATAGGAGCCTCCGCCTATATAGCCGGTCTCGGCCTGATCATCATCCCCTTTGTCACCTACTTGGTAACTCACTCGAAAAACTACACCCTGGGGTTGAGGGATTAGTCTAACAGTCTCTCCTTGCCAGGGCTCCGATGTCCTGGTTCTCCCCATCATCATAATGGGCATCATCTCCGTGCTGGGGGGACTGTGCGGCCTGCGACTCCCCGAAACCCTCCACCACCGCCTGCCGCAGACCATGGAGGAGGGCGAGGAGTTTGGCAAGGACTTCGAGTGGAGCGACTGTCTTCGCTGCAGGCCTCCTAAGTATGCGGCCCTAGAAGGAGGCTGAGGACTACTTGGTGTGTTGCATTGCAGGCCGAGCGTCGCCCTGAGCGGCTCCTACGAGGACTTGGAGATGAGCGACGTGAAGCCGGGGGATGAGGAGCAGCTCGAGGAGAGTCCGGAGCCGCGGCGCATCTCCATGAGGAGGCTGGCGCGTCAACAGAGCGTGATGGATACGCAGAAAACGGCCGATGGGACCATGAACATGACCTACTGGTTTTGAGGCTCTTAGATTCGAATAAACAAGGGTTTTCCACTTGAGTTAGTGGTTTTTTTGGGGCAGAGGGTTTGAGGGTACGCAAGGTAATTGAGTTTAATGGTTTTTTTGAGCTCAGTGTATAGTTTTCGACCTACGAAGCTCCGAGTTTCACACACTTAGGTG